TACGTACGTTATTACTTTATTAGTAACGAAGTTAGGTTGGTCGACTTACTTAGTACACTAGTGAAGGAACGTAGAACTACTCTACAACAAACACAAGAGAGTCGTCTCTCTCTCTCTCTCTCTCTCTCTCTCTCTCTCTCTCGGGCTGAGAATTTTTCGGATCGGGACCAGATCCAGATCTGGATCCAATCTAGATCTAGATCCAGAATATTCGAATTTAGATCCAGATCCGGATCAGTTGCAATTTTGTATATTATAAAGTCAAAAGATAATTATAAAAGTTAAATTAATTATATATATTATATATATAAATTAATAAATATATGGATTATAACGTATGTATATATTTATACATATATTATTTAAAAACGGGTCAAATCCAAATCCGATTTACTTTCTGAATTTTGGATCCACGTCTGGATCTGGATAGGATCCAATTTTGGGTTTTGGATCCGGACTGGGTAAATTGTCAACCCTATCTCTCTCTCTCTCAAACTTCAACACAAGTGAAGTGGCCTGTAAGATGTGCAGTTATTAAACTCTTTAACTTCCCTGTTATAAGTTGGATTTTGTTTGAATCATTATATTTTTCAATACAGGAAACACTACGCAAAGCAGATGAGATATTCGGACCTGATAACAAGGACCTTTACATCGTATTTGAGGGATTAATCAGCAGGAATGTCCAGTAGAGTAACTGCCTTCTTCATTTGAACTAGTAATATCACCCTATTTTATCCATAGTTTGAGTTATTTTTATTCTCCATAGTAAAAAGCGATGATGAATATTTAAAGCTTTCAATCTTTCCTCCATAATTGTATTAATTTATTTATTCAACAAAAGTCTTTGCAATAATTTTGTAGTAATGTTATTGTTGTTCTTTAAAATTTGTGGCATGATACGCATTCTCTTCAATCCAGACATCAGAGAGAGAGAGAGAAAGAGAGAGAGAAGGGGGGGGGGGGGCGGGAGGAATGTATAATACTCCTTTGACCATGAATAGTGGAGTTTTGCTCATATCAACAAAAGAAAAAGAAAGTGAAGGGTTTGCTGCTAAGGATAAGAATTTGATCATATTGTCACAAGTTTCATCTTGTCAAATTGGCCAAAGTTTGCCAACCTAAAGCTAAAGGGGGTATAGGAATCCAAGATCTCCAGAGTACAAATTTAGCTTTGTTGGGTAAGTGGTGGTGGCGTTTTGCTACCCAAACCAACCATTTGTGGTGGCAGGTGATCCACTGCAAGTATAGCAGCGGTGACCATGAATGGCTGCCTTCCTGCAAAGTGGGAGGCAATATTTCCGGCTTCTAGAGGTCCATCTTGCATTGCCGCCCACTGATTCTTAATCACATTCATTTTATACCCAGATATGGCTCAAGAGTTTTGTTTTGGCACAACATATGGGTAGGTTGATCACCTCTCAAGGAGCAATTTCCATCCCTCTTCCTGTTAGATCGCAACCCTCCCTCCACTGTGGTCGAAAGCATCACTGGCCCTATCCACTCAATATATGGAACCCGAATTTCAGAAGGCCCCTTGCTGATCACGAATATAACCACTTCCTGGCCTTCTCAGCAAAGCTTCACTTGGTTTTCTTATCACCCATAGGAGAGGACAAGATTGTTTGGTCCCCTTCTCCATCTGGAGATTTCACGTTCTCTTCCTTTTACCACAGCTTGACTTCATTCCCCCTGATCCCCTCACACCCTATCCCATTGCAGCTAATTCTTTTTTACCTCCAAAGATCCAGTTCTTTACCTGAATAGCCCCCATGAGAGAGCCTTAACCCTTGATCATCTTCAACGGAGGGGGTTACTGCTGCCCAACCGTCGTATCATGTGCTGCAAAGCTCAATAGACAAATCAACATCTTTTTCTACATTGTGAAGTGGCAATGGCCCTTTGGACTGATGTACTCATGCTCTTCAGTTGGCTGTGGGTCACCCCCCAGTATTCCGCTACTATTCTCGTCTTACACTCACACCCCTTGGAACAGAGCTGGGAAACTGTTATGGATTGCCTCCATTGCTGCAACACTACGGGTTATCTGGATTGAAAGGAATAGTAGGACTTGTGAATCTGCCGCTATCCCTAACCTTCACCAATTACTCCTTCTCAGACCTTCATCAACAGCTGCAGACATTACTTCATCTGAGGGTCATGAGGATATCTCCAGCATCCCTTTGGAGGTCACCGGAAATAGGGACCATCGAGTTCAATTTTGATGTTTGCTCCCTTGGCAACCCTGGCCCCCTGGCATCTGCGGCAATTCTGCAATTTGTCATATCTCTTCGGTCCAAGCACTGAGAGAAAGAGCATGGTATAGAGAGGAGAGCGAACAAGGGAACATGGTATAAACTATAAAGAGAAGAGAAAGGGGGAGGGAGTGAGAACTTGGTATACCCTTCTGAGTGAATCCACTTAAATCCATGTTCTGAGTGCGGATGCACATGTGTGTGCATGTGCATGTGATACCAAGCCAGTTGTGGCCTTTGCTTTGGTGAAGCATGTGTAAAATTATTAACTGAAATGGTAACCACATCTTTTTTTTATGTTTCCTTAAATCTTTTGGTTTCAATGTTGTGTTGTGACAGGCCAGTTGACATTTGCATTCGATGAAATTGTTTTACATGTTTATCGCATTAGAGAATAGAAATAGAAAATGTCTCGATTGCTCATTATCAGGCTGACTAAACAAGGCCTTCTATCATATAAAGCACATATTCATGTCATTCTTTGTGTTCTTATCTTTTTGTAATTTTTTTAAAATTTAATGACCACATCATTAGTGATGCACCCATGCGCATCAGACCACCCCCCGCCCCCAGTGCATTGAGTTCAAATCTAGCATTTGATAACATTGATCAGAACGTTTAAAGACAATGATAACATGAAAACCCTCTTTTGGGGGGATTTAAGTTTTCCAAAGTCACGAGACCATAATGTTGTCCAGCTTCAATTCATGTATGGAAAAAATTTATATAAGGTTGCAACTTTAAATTCTAAAATTAAAGTGCACCTCAAGAATCCATTATAGAAGGTTGTTTTGATGTTGGAAAATCCTCTAATTGATCATCTCAATATATGAATATGAAAAGAAAAAAAGAATTTTGAGTCTTAAAAATAGAGTATCTTGCAACAAATTATCTAGACCATCCATTTTCAAGATTCTCAAGGTTTATAGATCTACTTGATTTGAACCATTTTTGGAGTTTAAGATTTTATATTTAGAGATAAAAATAGATTCTCAAGCCATCATATGAATTTTTTAAACCAAAATTATATTTATAATAAAATTTGGAGGAACGCATTGTTTAAGGTTGCAACCTTATACAAAACCACACCCTTCATGTATATAACCACCACAACATTCACCATGCCATATCAGTCACTAGACTCCAGTTTATCTTTCTTGTTTCAATATTTTTTTGCTTGCTTCTTTGTTAACTAATACACCATTAATTTCTGATGTTAATCATGATAAATAGAATAAACAATTTCAAATTCCCATTTGTCCGCTTCACCACCAGACAGCAGCCTAAAACAGAGCATTTACAAATGTATTAGAGAAGCCCACAACATCATGGAGAATAGTTAATGGACCCTCATAAGTAGTCAATCATGAAATAACAGCTCTAAAAATTCGATATAATATTCTATATTTCTACTCCAAAGTAGACATGGGAAAGGTTATTGTACTTCCCCTACTGTATGGAAGATCTATACTTCCCCCCATCCAGTCCAATTTAAATCAAGTAAGCCACTGACCGTTTGATCTAAGATTTGACGCCTCAGTATTTTATTTTTAATTTTTTTCTACGAATTATATGAATATGAAATTTGGTATGTGCCATCATCTCAAAGAGGTGCACCTAAAAACAATATTAAAAAAATATTTTTGATAAAATACAATAACCAAAATACCCCTGAAACTTTCAAAGACATTTTGGTTATTTTATTTTATTGGGAATATTTATTTTATAGTTTTTTACAGGCAAGTTTAAGAGAGGAATGGATGCCCAAAATTTGGTACAAAAATATTTTGTAGTAAAAAATTAAAAATAAAATAGTGTAGAGGCGTGACATTGTGATGGGAGCCATCTCAGCCCTCCATTCAGAATTGACGGTTGGATAGGGGAAAGAATATAAGTTTTATACAATAGGAGAAGTACAGAAAGCTTGCCTAGTAGATATTAGATACCTTACCATGTACTGTACTTCTGCAAAGTGTCAGAGTCCCCGATATTCAATAAATCTGAAACCTAATACAACAACTAAATTGCTACATTTCGCAAGTTGCATCATGCTTGCCTAAATCATACAGGAACCAGACAATTTAAGTTGCTACGTGAGCCGTATTGGTTCACTATAAATCATCAGTCACATTGTCCATGAAATGGACAATCTTAGCTTACACTCCAAAATCTTAAGGTTTATTAAATGGGAAGTAATCCAACAAGACAAGCTTACCATACTAGGGCTTGCAGGAACCAAGTAATCGTCCGGGATCAAAGCCACGCTGTCGTCAAACTCACTACACACAAAAACTTATTACATTTTTAAAAACATTGGTTAGTCAAAGTGCAATTAAAATTCAATACCCACCTACGGAAAGCAGCAGCAGCAGAAGTGGTATGATCGTATGAAATAAAACTTGGTGTATTCTTTCTTTTATTTTTTTTCTTTTGTTAACTGTTATATATTTAGCAATGGAGTAATACAAGTAATGGCAGTATACAAAAAATAGGCAACCCACAACCAGGTGCCTATACAAAAACCTCAATAGTCCAAAAAAATGCTTTACAGTTTCTCATGCCATGCCAGTGTCGACAATTCACAAAATGAAATAAAATGGGGGAATACGTGACCATTGAGTCACTTTTTTTGTATAACTCCCTCACTGCCTCCTTGTCACACTTTACTTCCAGCATAGGTGTTAAAGATAATACAGCCAGAAAATAACGGATAGAATATTGGGTAGGTCAAGGATCGCGTGGCCGTTTCTTTAAAATGGAAGGCCTAGAACCAAAGCTTTTAGCCGCATTCTTCAAATAAGCATCTAGACTTCCCTCACAAGGAGAATCCCATAGGCAATAAGGCGTAGAACAATCTAGCGAATAGAACATTATTTGCTGCCGAATACCAAGATGGCTATATGCTTGTTGGGGGTCACCATCACATGCTTCCAGATCACAATTGGGGAGGTCCAAAGTTGGAATACGAGACTGCTCATAAGACAGCTTCAGAATCCAAATTTTCAGAATGTGGTGTATGATTTTCATCAATGCCACAAGAATGTGTTGTAAGTTATCATCTGATACCAAATTTGACATGTTTGTGTCACTCCGTGCACGAGCGTCAGTTTCACAAGCTCAACGTGCAGTGGATGTTGAAGACTGCCAGACCTATGCAATCATGTAAATGTAAAAATCAATGAGGTCAGATATTTTGCACCCTCCAAGCACTCCTTTGATCTCAGGAAACTGACTTCTAATAGCAGCTACATCGCTCAAGGCAGGTACATAATAATCCTTTGAACATGGTGATGCAAGATACTCAGCTACATCCTTCTTGTTAGCTTCAACTCCGATGCATCGTGAATGGCTGGAACAGATGTATCAGCCACAATGTTCAGATTGGAAGCACCCAACTGAAACTGATTCTTGACTACATTCTGACATATGATCCATTCCAACTCCATCCTTGAGACTGTCATCCCCCACGGTTGGTTGATTCCATGTAGAAGAGAAAGATGCGACACATGGGATAGCTGGGTCCATAAGAGATAACCCGGAAACTGACCAAGTAAACCAGAACCCGCATATGAAGCTAGCTTCTTTTTCAAGGAGCTGTTCCAATTATTCTTGATTGCATTGTTGGTCCTGAGTACCAAATTGCTTATATGTAGTAAGGAATCAGATAGAAGATAGCTCAAAATTTTCTTAAGTATGACAAGAAGCACAAAGCTAGCATTGTGAGTAGATCCAGATTCCAGAAAAGGAAGCAACACAACATGGAGAAAAGAAAGAAATGACAACACCATTTCTTCCTAGATACAGTGTTGAATGACAAAAAGACATGTACATGTATGTACAAATTCACATAGGACACATCTACGCATCAAAACAATATATGTGATTTGGTGCGCACAGATTATGTTGTATGGACACGGGTATGTGTGTAAGCGTCAGACACGGATATGGGGCATTGGATTCCCCATGAGGAGGAGGATTTCATAACAGTTATATTAAGAAGGGACAACAGCATACAACAATGTTGTATCATTATCATATTTCATGATGAGTATCAAAAAAAATCAGTTATATACAATTGCCTGAAACCTTAGTTCTATAGGATCCTTGAGCATAGGTAGTTGTTCCCACTATAAAACTTTATACTCCCTATGCAATTACTGATGTAAAAAAGGTCCCTTTTCCCATTCCCTCACTATCTTCTCCCAAAAATGCTAGCTAGGTGATGCCAGTAGCTAACAGCAATTACTCACATCACACAGGAAACATAAACAAAATACAAATCTGAGACCTGAAAAGGCATGCAAACAAAACATTTTTTTAAAAATGCCAGCTGCTCTGAAAGGTTCACATTTGACACGAGTGCAATAGATCATGAGACCATAAAAGATTCATGGGAATGATTCAAACAAAAACAATAATGATAACAACTAAGGAATGCACTAAGTTTTTTTTACCCAATGCAGTGAAGGAAGTCAAAACAAAGAGTAAACCATTGCCTTGTGATGCCACATGTCAAAGATTAAAAACATACCTTCCAGGTAAGAATTTTGCCAACTTCACCCACTTGTTTCCATGCTGTTGATGAGCACGGATTAGTGCCAACTCCTCATGTGGAGTCCATGCCTCTTTGTGTATTGCAGGATTCAAATGATTGTGCCACCTACGAAATTGACATAATTCACAAGAATGAATAAACCATCTTACAAATACATGCATGACCAAGGATCCCAAAAACAATAAGGCATTATGAAATGCTACTATTCCGCAAACCATCAAGAGTGAACCTCAATGAATATGAAAGAAAAAAGCACTACTACAAGAATTATTTCAAGGAAAACCATGGATTAGAGAAAACACAAAATATAGCAATGAAACTATATATAACGTAGACCGAGATTCAGAAGCCTATAACCCCTGGGGACCAAAATAAATAATGGTCAAAATAGATACGGTTTTTAATTACTACTAAGAAGTGGTCAAGCCCTACCTCTCAGCTAAACTATGAAGAATTACAAAATACTCTAAAAAGATGATTTGCTTCTTTGACAACAGAAAATCAATACTAGCTTCAATGCATATTATGCTACAGAAAAAAAAGTTGGAGTCCTACAAATCCAATCCATGAGCCAAAATCAGCATATTCCAGTTACAAGCGGTGAGATTGTTTAGGCAGCATTTGGAAACGTGTCTTATTGCAGTAAAGATCCGTGGTCAACAAACCACCACTTAGTAGCTACTTTTACAATTGGACAAATTGACAAACAAAGCCATCAAAAAACTTCTCATTTGAAATTATGCTTCCTCCAATCAAACTTCCATGACCGGCAAAACATATCCAACCAAATATATTGTAGCCCAAGTCTCAAATTTGTCAGTAAGCCTCCACGTATTCCAAAAAGCAATCAATAGACTTTACGAATTCTAATAATTGTTCTTATTGAGCGAATGATTAGTGTAGCATACATCTTTGAGACTGGGGCAGGACTTGCACTGCGCTATTTCAATGATACAGCGATTCCATTGAATATCTGGAAGAACGGCCAAGAAACAATATTTAGATCTTACCTTTCACGACACTGCTTTCCATTCCATCCAAGATACAGGGATTCCATTGAATATCGGGAAGAGCGGCCAAGAAACAATATTTAGATCTTACCTTTCACGACACTGCTTTCCATTCCATCCAAGTAATGCTTGTGCAATGGTTGACCAATTTTTGGCCCCATGTTGCAGGACAAGCTCAATAATCATGTCATCCCCCTACAAAAATTGTCATAATCAATCAAATACAATGAAGATGCAACACCTCAAAGCCCACAAATTTCCCACATTCAAAAATTTTAAAAAGCAAAAAGGTCCATAGAACCACATAGTGTGTATCAAGGAGAGGCAGCTTACTTCTTTTGACCATTGCCCTTTCACAAGATCAGGATTTAAAACCTTGTGCCACCTATGATAGCATTGGACCTCGGTGCGATAGGTAAAAAAGGTATCTGGCAAAGTAAAAATGCAAAACAAAACATCCAAATTATACACCCAGATAATAGCATACCACCATGAATAAGGGTTTCAACATATGTTTAAAAATGTTTATCAGGACACGCAAGGTCGCAAGAAATATGAAAAAGTAACTCTTAAAATTTATAAAACCCAACGACTAAAAACTGAAAACTATGGACCACGCGAAAAAAATCAAAACCAGTCCACATCAGAAGAAGATTAACATATTTTATCTTTAATTAAAATGGTGATGATGATCTTCAATTGAAATGGTGCACACCGTGCTGCATTGCTGCATAGAGAGGGATGCTGAGAAGCTGACGAGTAATGATGGCCATCCATGTCAGATGCAAACAACATCCTGGAATACATTAAAAGTCCCCCTCAGGTTTCACCCAGTAACTGAGAGATCCACTAGCCTATTCCAGCATCTGGAACAGACAGTGACGACACTCCCCAACATGCAAAATGGTATCCAAAAGGCCTTGCACTCAAGTTATGTGTTACATTTCTCAGAAAAAGAAATGTAATGGTGCCATCTTGAAATTAGATCCTTGCCACTAACAATTACATGTCGGATTTATTGGCCACTATCAGTAATAATTCTTTATATAATCAATCCTAGATTTCAAAAGCCAAAACAATTTTTACAATGTTTTCATTGTGAAAAGAAATGAAGAGACTTGCCTTGAAAGAAATAGATTGTAAAGCACATATGGTCGATGCAAGGCAGTAATAAAAAACACACAGATATGGATCAGGAATCAGTAGGTACCTTGCCAGTTCCTGGTTGGAATAGATGGTTCCATATATTTCATATAGTAATTAGTACATAAAACTTATATCATATAATGGAAGTCACTTATTTGGCCAAAGTGTGCAGCTAGAAAGTACTGGGTTGGAGGTTCGAACCCCTCCTGGTCCTGGGTCTCCAATAGCATAAACTTCCAACCTATTTTTCTTGGATTTTTTTTTCTTTTTTTTGCCATATCACTGATCCAGCCATTTAGGATCGGGATAAGTGTGTAGCCGCTCCACCCCACCTATCCGTTTTTTTTTTAAACAATGATGTAGGCAAACTAAGTATGGCTAAGAAAATATTGGGAAATGTGAATAAAGCAAAATAATCCAGGTATAATTTTCAAAATTATAACATCAAATAGTTGTAACCAATACTTTCTAGCAAACATTCAGAGATACAAAACCAAAATAAAATATATTCACCAGGTTACCTATCTCTTTCCACTGCCTGCCGTTATAGCAGTGAACAGCTTTCCTCAATATTTCATTCTGCAATCATAGTTCAAATTAATCAAGAAAAATTCCATTGCATATCAATGTTAGTATACCACTAAACACAAGAAAAGCAGCAATACAATCAACCAAAATCCATAGCATGCCCCAGGACCAAGCAAAAAATAAATATATAGTAGAAAAACTGTTAAACACCACAACCACTACAAATAGAGGCAGAAGCCTCCATAAGGAATGAGAATATTTGAAACTTATCTTGAGCATGCCAAAATCCAAATAATTGCAATGACTAGAACTCCTACAAAGGAAAGCAAACATTATGAAATATGGCAATTTGTCCTAGCCTTGAACACGCAATAGAAGAAGGTTTCTTAAAAAGCTAAAAATACAAAAGATAGATTTGAAGGCATCAATTTAATCCAATTTTAGTATCAATGTTCTCCAAGTCAGTCAAAAATATTTGATATTGAAGCCTATGTTTACATTTGATGGATATATTTGTTATTTGATTATCAAGAAAGGAAGGGGCACTAATTTGTCAGATATAGAATTGGTGAGCGTTTTCTCTTTCTTGGTGACAAGAGGGCTAGAACGTGCAACCTCAAGTTTGCAAAGTACCTTCCAATTGAGCAAGGGCATTAAGATCAACAACACTGAATATGAGGATTCTCATAAAAATAAGAATTCATGTAAGGAACGTAACTTTATAAAACTTAAATTAGACTGCACAGATCTGTCAAGTATGCAAACACAGAAAAATGATACATCAAGATCTGTATGCATTTCATAAATACGCCAAGTAATCTTTACGAATGTAATATTAAATGAACAGAAGCAAGCTAAAAAGGAGAAAGAAGTATGTAATAACCACTGCTAATGACCTCTTTAGGCATCCACCCACCGTAAGTCGAACATTTCGCAGGACCACTCATCCTCCTACAATGACATCATATACAAATATCATGTACACTTCCTTATGTTGGCTACAATGTGCAAACTTAAAAAGAAAATTGTTATCAAAATATATGCTTCTAGTATATAATAAAGGTGAAACCGACCCAAAACAGTAGCAAGGACCTAGTTTATCAATGTTGACATCACTCTTCACCTGGTCTTTTAGTTCCAAAGGTAATAACAATCATCAATAACTCAACCGAAGTTTTAAAGCAACGACTTGGGTTAGGATTCGTTAGGGAAGTTTGATTTGGGCAACTCAATTTGGCTATGTATTAAAAAATTAACAGTAAAACCTTCAGAATTGGCAATACTTGGACAGTTCCCAAGGAAACTCTCCTTCAATAAATTATAAATACTTCGCCTTTTGAAAAAAAAATTTCCAAACTATATCTAGTAAAAAGAGATTCTCTCCCATTTCAATAATTAATTTTATTGGAAACCTAATGTAATCCCCAAATTTCAAAGATTTTTCTTTTCGGAAAGAAAATGCAGTGCAAACTTTTTGTGATTATAATCACAATAATTGAAACATGCATCGCATGCCTCCTGCTAGTAATGTATATACAGTGGAACATTGTTCCAGCCCTTTTAAATCCAAGCTTTAGCAAAAGACACATGCATCGCATGCCTCTTGCTAGTAATGTATATACAGTGGAACATTGTTCCAGCCCATTTAAATCCAATTTTTAACAAACAACAAAAAAAAACAAAGAGATTCACTAAAAAAGAATAGAGTGCATATTATCTCCATCTCCTATCATAGCAGTAAACTATTCAAAACTTACCCCTGTGAATTTAACTGCAGATTGTTTGTAGTCTCACTGCACCCATCAGAAGGGCCAGAGTAGTGACTTGATTTCTCCTACTCTCCATGGTAGCATTCCTCTTTGTCCTAACACCGACCATCACTTCTCAAGTGCAAAGTGCATCCATATATCCCAAAAATCACTCTCACTCCAAAGTATGCCTCCAAAACATTATCAAATTCTAGAATAACTGCAATAATTATGACTTAACAAATGGAGCCACAAAATGAAAATTTGATAAAATATTATTGAAAAATAGAGGAAAGGAAACTCATGTCAACCATTTACAAACTAAGCTTTGCAAGTTTCTTCTCAGATGCTAGAATCCCGATGCAAGTACTAACTACGACCAAACAAATTTCAAATTGAAACCATATAAAAATGCTACCACTATGATATGCTACCATCACATCTTCTTGTTGCTTGGATATTAACATTGTGATATGCTAGCATTACTAATGAGAAGCTATTTGATGATTAAAATAAAATTTCAAACCATGAACTGCCCTTCATCTACAAATGGGCCAGAAACCACATCAGCCAATTTTGACCTAATCGTCATCAACAGTAAAATAAAACTCGGCAAGTTCCATTGGGACTCACCCGAGTTACTATGACTCGGAAAAGCTGCTGCAAAGCTGCTAGGTACAGAACCCATGGGAACCAGCCGTGTATGAACAGTTCAATATTTTATTATTATTTGAGGAATCAACCAAGTCTGTCAGACCTAACTAGGGCTTGGTAACTTAGAAAGTCCCAAATTGAGTGTTTCTTTTAAACCACTGATCATCAATGATCTGCTCAAGTATAAAACTTGCTAATCCCCTACAATATCCTTCTAATATACCACAAACACCAACCTAAACTTCAAGAAATTCGCAGCTGGAAAACTTTTAGTAAGTGACAGAGCAGCCAAGGCACTTAGAGATAGAGAGTTTGAATCTAGCCTCATTGTCTGCAAAGGCACCGAATGCCAATTCAACCAACTAAAACCTAAATGTTCAATAATCAGAAAATCTAGCCTAAATCCCTAGCATAGAGGCCATTAAAAGCAAACAAATGAACCACAAATGAAGTCAGAGACTCACCTAAGAAAATCCCCCTCCAGTTTCTTCTCAGATACCACTAACCCAAACAAAAACCTCACAAAATAATGAAAATTAATCAGAGCCAAACCAGCAACTGACCTTATCGCCAGTAAAACAAATGAACTCCAAGAAAAGCCTGCCGAAAATATCCTTAAGAAAATGTAACCAGAAAAAAAAAAACAAGAAAATGCAGTAAATCGACGCAATTTGAATTGCAAAACTCTTGATGAAAAACCTCAATTCGTACAGCTGCAAATGCTCTCGTTCAACTTCGGAATTTGCCCTAATTTCATGAGAGAAAGAGAGCCTTAGAGATAGAGAGTTTGAATTTTGAATTATGCTTACATTCGAAGGCGGTGGCGCCTACTCTATAGCGCGCGTGCAACTTCGCAGAGATCGGACGGCTGAGGCTGGCTATAGGAGTTGCCCGTTAGCTGGGCCCATGTGTTGCCGCGAGACCGCTGTTCGCTCACGACCGGCTGGTGCGGGTCACGATCTTGACTTAACGAAGCTAACCGGGGAGAGATATTTTGGCGGAAGCACAGGTTTTATAAAAGGGTGCAGTTAGCATGCAGAATCACAGATGTATCCGTAGGTGTAGAGGTAAGGTGCACCTTCAAATTTTATCATGATATATATTTTTGATGTAATATGTTATTAGAATTATCTTAAAATTTATTGTTATATTTAATTATAAAATTTTAAATTTCAAAAATAATTAAAATCAAATAGATCTATAAACGTATGAAAATTTTGAAAATGGACTGCGTAGATAATATGTTGTAAAATGCACTATTTTTAAAATTTAAAATCTTTTTATTTTTCATGATCATATATCTCGATGTCGAGATAATCAATCAAAGGGGTTTTTCAACATTAAAACTACTTTTTCCGATAGATTTTTAGGTACATCCATAGTTTTACATATAAAGTTACAACCTTATATAACCTTTTTTCTTTATAAAAAGTTAAAAACATAGCAAAGCCACGCCTCGAATTCTTCTGGTTGGGAAAGCGCCCTGCGCATTACAAATATATGTGATGGCTCTAAAATCAATTTGACTATGAGATTTAAAGCTTAAGAAATGTGCAAATCTTGCATATCATTTTAGGGCGAAATATACAATATGAGAATGTGTTGCAATACATTTTTTAGAGTTTGAAATCCTAATTTTTTTTTACAATCATAATGGTCAAAACCAAATTGATCGAAGGTATTCAAATGCCAAAACTGCAACTTTTCATAAGTCTTGAGGCCAACCTTTACTTTTTTTGATAGAGTCGCAGCCCTATTTTCCTTTGGCTATGGGATTTTAGTCATAAAGTGTAGCCCCAATTTTATTAGACGCATGATTTGCTTAAATTTTGGCCTTTTCTACTTTTAAATTTATTTTTGGAAAATGACAAATATACCCCTACTTTTTAAAAAAAAAAAGAGTGAGTTAAATAGCGTAAAGTAGACAAAAAAACCATTTACTTTTAGTAAAAAAAAGTCACAACTATTCTTGTCCATCAAATTTCAAGGCTTAAAATATACAAAAAGACCATTTATTTTTAGTATAAAAAAGTTACAACTATTCTTGTCCATCAAATTTCAAATCAAATGATAGTAAGTGTACTCGTTACTAAACTCAAAGCCCAACAAAACATTTATTGAACTTTATGACATATCCCAAACCGTCCAATTGGACCGTTAATGGTTAGGACTAATGATGACCTTGTACTAAAAGATAAATGGCCTCATAGTATACAATCCCTTTAAATAATATATAAGTAACAATGTAAAATTTGCCCCATAGTATACAATCCCTTTAAATAATGTATATGTAACAATGTGAAATTTGTTGATGTGCTAAGCCAAAATCTAATTGACACATTTTAGAAGAAAATAAAAATTGTCATTGTTAAAGAACCTTCAAGTACAAAAATTTTCCAGGCATATTAACATAAATTCCAGCCATAAAGATGCATCCTTGGTTCTCTTAAACTATTGAGTAAATAGCTGGAAAAAAAATGGATACGAATATTAGATATCTAGGTCCAATATTAATACATTCTCAATGCAAGTTATTTAGTATCATGATTAAAGAAGTTCTTCAACTCGAATCTCTTTGCATTGTCCATTAAGTCAACATAATAAACATCATCGTCATCATCAAAACCTTTTTTCAATTAATTGGGATCAACATAATAAACACCTAATGGAAAAACATAGTGGTCTTGCAATATACAATCCATTTTGCCAATACTTTTCCTTGTTTTAATGGTTAAAGTGGCCTATTTTGAAACCACAAATAACACAAAAAAAATAAAATAAAAAGATATGACAAAAATGAGCAGTGATTTTGTCTACCCTCATCACCATCCAAACTTCATCGCATAATCATAATTGTCCAATAATGTTTCATTTTTTATTTTTTTTTAACTAATCAGAAGATCTGAAATTTGGAGCGTGTATACATCTTAGTGAAACACACCTAATAAAAATATAAAAAAAATAATATAAATTGACCAAAACAACCCCAAAATTTTACAAAGGTATTCTTATCAAATTATATTTTACAAATTATTTTTTTATATTTTTATTAAATACACATAACTAAGATATACAAACTCCAAATTTCAAGTAATTTGAATTTATAGAAAAAAATGAAAATTGAAACACTACCAAACAACTGTGACCGTACGATGATATTTGACTAGTGATGAGAGTAGACGAAATCATTGTTCATTTTTACCTATAGGTATTGAGAAAAACTTTCAATACTAAATACCATACCAGATTTAATTGGCAAGATGAAAGCAAGAAACTACTTTTTGTGTACACGAATCTCATGTGTGCTTGCGTCAAATAGCTAAGGCTCGATCATCTCTAGCTCGTTCAATCTACTCTAAATAACAACGAGCAAAGCCAATGGCAGCAGCCTCCTAAGGAGCGAGTTGCTTGTGTATGAGAGAGAGAGAGAGAGAGAGATTTTAAGGTAGATCGAAGACCATATGGCAGCTTCAGTGTTTTCCCAAAAGCAGAAGCATTTCTGTCCTAATGCATTAATCAAGACCAGTCTTCTCAAGGATATGGAAGCTCGGAAGAGAGAAGTTACTATTCCACTAAATATCAATTTATACAACATTTCCTATGCTTTGTACTTCCAAATATGGTGTCGGTCTCTGCACATCACCCATTGACAGCAGACCTGTAAACTGATTCATTGATGGTCGAATAGATTTCTCCCTCATCTGCCAAGAAGCCAATCACCTTCCTGTCAAATGCAGAATATTAGTATCTTAGAGAGAGAGAGAGAGAGAGAGAGAGAGAGATATGTGATTCACAAGTTTATAGGTTCTCATAGAACTCACAATATTCTTTCTTTAGGTATGCCAGGTAGTCTACGTGCAGCTTCATCCACATGTAGTCCGTCATTTTCACTTGAAAAGCAAAAGTCAATGACATAAATTAGCAATCAATCAACCAAATAATTCACTATTAAAAAGAAAAAAACACACATAGAAGCAACAAGATCATTGGCATTTTTTTTATCAGCAACAAAACAATCTCTATGTTATTACATTATTATGTACGAGAATTAATAGAGTATCGTTACTTGTACCTGAAATTTCATTATATTTAGTCATTTTTGGGATGAAGAAAGAAAATCAGTAAAGCTGATACTTTTATGAGAGTTGCTTTGGTTTCAAGTAACTCACAGGGCTGCAGGGTCCATGAAGACAATCCTAACCCTGTTGCAAATATCTTCATCAGATCCAACTGGGGCTGAGCGTCCACTAAACTGGGTAAATCAAAGGAAAGATAACTTTACAACTATGTTACCCTTTCACATAAATGAAAATTTTGAGAGAGACAAAGGAATGGTTTTCTGATCCCTTACTTGGGCTTGGATAGGAGTACCATGTCCAAGGGGTCCATTTCCATGAGCTATGTTCACTGAGCTTGTTTGCGGCTGAGAAGACCCACCCTGCATTTTCATGACGTGCCATTAAGTGTATTCTTGTGTGTGTATCTAGATGAGATGAGAGAGAGAGAGATAGATGAGATGAGAGAGAGAGATAGATGAGATGAGAGAGAGAGAGATGAGATGAGAGAGAGAGAGATGAGAGAGAAAGAGAACCATTGGAAATTGTATATGAAAGAGCATTTAGGTTGATTTTTGAGTTAAAGTTATTTAGCAGGGGGAGAGAAGAGGGAGAGGGAGTGCATATAACAAAGATAAAGCCTTTCCACAAGAAATTCGTACCAGATGCCTAGTGTTGTGCATATGTACATAACAGCACTCCAAGAAGTGGCATGTAACTTCGTTGAAGTCTGTAACAGGCCTGGAGAGAAGAAATAACGTGACGCCTCGAGTATAAAATAAGCAGCAGATGCGTCAAACATTCTACAAATTTACAACTTGACACCAACAAGGAAACACTATTAAAAACCATGCAGCTCAAATAAGAAGCTGATTTGAGTTGAGTACGAGTTCAAACTTTAAAGACACATACACAGATGATTTTGAGTTTGAGTTCAAACTTTAGATCACATACACACACACACATGATTTGAGTTTGAGTTCAAAGTTTAAACACACACACACATGATTTTGAGTTTAAAATGAAACTTTAGAATCAATATCTCTCTCACACACACACACACAGCATAGCCCTTAAAAACTCCACTCGGTATAGTTTAGACTGCATTAAGAACAACCTAGGAGACAAACTTTAGTAGTCAAACACAAATTAAACATGATTTAATGTGCCACTTGTTTAGCTCATCATGTGGGGCATGAGGTTGGGCACTCAAAAGTCCCACATTTGTTAGGGACGGCCCAGCATATTTATCTTGGGGTAAGTTCACGTTTCTTGATTTCTCAATTTCATCGCTTAAAAAAGTATTTCGTAAGAATCTTACTAGTCAAAATTTCTCGAACTGTTATACTTTTACAACTAGTTGTAGAGCTAAATTTCATATAATACCCATCAGATTAGAAACGATCATGTGATACTGGGACTTGACACTATGTCTTGAGAATGAAAGTAGCATGGTTGGCTAAGGGGTATTCTGCCTCGCAAAAATATGCCCTATGAATCATCAGATCCCATCTCACTTATAAAAACAAAATAGTAAGCACTCCTGCGCCATTGCGAAGGACCATACTCGCATGAGTGATCCTATCTCTAAGATAATAGGACCAGCAAACTACGTATAGATTATTGCATCTGACAATACTGTTCAAAAAAGTGGTCTTCTATCGATGTCCACTGAATTTGTTTGTCAAGGCTATCACACAACTTTAGCATAAAGTCTGTGTGCGCCAAATTTCTCAATGAACAATTACTAAATGATTGAGGGGCAGAGTGCTAGAACTCATAATCTTGCTTGAGAGAAAATTTCTCAGTGAACAAATTGCTAAATGATTTGAGAGGTGGGAGAACTATAACTTGTAATCTTGCAAAGTCCCTCGAGTAATTGTACAAATTTTTTGGTAGGTCAATATCAAAAAAGAACCTGGAATGTGGCCTTGCAATCATCATCCTGTAAACATCAAGCCAATACCTAAATCCCCAACTAAAAATGTCAACTATCTTATTCACTTCTCTATCTAGTACTCTTTCCAAGGGATACTCTATAAATATAACTTGTGTGTGTCCCATAGCTAATGATGATGAAAATAGCCCCACAGTTAAGTTCAATCACGTTAGGCACAAAATGGTAGTCTTCATTCTGTTTGTCTCGGGCACATAAAGGATTATAACCTTGTCTATATTAATAAAAAGGCTTTCATAATCCTACACTATGCACACAAAAGTGGTCGTCTAAATATTTCAGCCAACTCCATAACCCTTTTGTATATCTATTTTGACCAACTTGTATCAACCAACTCCATATCCCTTCATTTGGCCCATACGTGGTATCATCCTGTGGAAGGCCTCCGTAGCAGCCACCCTCTGGGTCATTCATTTGGAACGAGAGAAACAACAAAATCTTCCGTGGCGGGAGGCCTTTTGTATAGCTATTTTGACCAACTTGTATCAACCAACTGCATATCCCTTCATTTGGCCCATACCTGGTATCATCCTGTGTAAGGCCTCCGTAGCAGCCACCCTCTGGGTCATTCATTTGGAACGAGAGAAACAACAAAATCTTCCGTGGTGGGAGGACCTCCCCAGGAAAAATGTTTGATAAGATCAAAACCCAGGTTATTTTTTGGGCATGCAACAACAAGTACTTCAAAGGATTGTCACAACCCACTTTTCTCCTCAACTGGCAGGCCTTGCTGTTCTCATGGCAACCCCGCATTTCCCAGGCTACGTATTGGAGACCACCTGAACCAGGCCAATTGAAAATAAACTTTGATGGCTGCTCCCTTGGCGGCCCTGACCCTTCAGGTATAGGAGGCCTCATCAGGAATACTCCAAACATTTTGGACACGCTGATTCCCAAATGGCAGAGGCTCTAGCACTCCTTGAAGGACTCAAAAGAATCCCTCTTCAGACCTTACCCTCATAGTGTAAGGAGATGCTAAGAACGTTATTGCCAGGGCCTCACGCTCAGCACTATGTCCCTGGACTGTTGCTCACATTCGTAGGAATATAATCGTTTCATGGAAGCATATTTGGTGGGAAGGACAGACGAAGGCAAAAGCGCTAGCTAAAGAAGGAGCAGTCAACATCACACCCATGACCGCTTTTGGCAGTTAAGTCTATAGTTTTGTTCTCTTTGTTTTGGCCAGTGCACATACTGTTAACCCAAGTGCCGTTTTTTACACTTATTTTCTGTATAGAGTCCCCAATAGCAGGGGTGCCCATTTTTGTATAGAGCTCTTGGTCTGTGAGATGCCAATTTTTTGATACCTTGTATTCCCTCCTTTTTACTTAATACCATAGTCAACAGTTTCAAAAAACAAAATTCCATTGTCTCACTCTTGCACTCCTACCAAGCATAATCAATCCCTTTCAATAAAAATGACAGATTAACCTAACCTTGCTCCTCCATCAAATTAAACGATATAAATTAGCCCCATGCATTTGCCACGATTGAGCCAAAGAGTCTAATTATATATGTTTAAACATGGCTTCGAGGAATAGATTTCTACAAAAGTATACAATAATAGCATTTGGGATTCAAACTAGTCACTAAGAAACTGACCATTCAAATCAGAATCTTCCAGTTCAAATCGTAAAAAGGGGGACTCAGGTTCTTAAGGTTTACAAACCAGAAACTTACCCCAGTTCAACTTAAATCGCCTGATTCACTCCATCAAATGTTATCATCTTGCTCAGGCAATTCCTAAATTTTGAATGATCTAAGAAAAATGGTCTGAGTCGGACCATTTCTTGTCCGAAATAGTAGAAAAAAAAACCATCTTTATTATCAATCTCTGGCACATTTTGAGCCAATTCATTCCCAAATTTACAAGATCTAGTTTTTTTACAAGATGTACAAGGGGTAAAGCTCACTTTTTCAATAGAATCCGTATTCTTTTGAAAATGAAATATTTGAAAAATTGAGGTTTTTTCCAAATTTGAACTCCGACCTCTTTGAACCAATGTTTGAATCAGTGTTTTTTTCTCTTTTCTAACGATTGAATAATTCCTAGAATCAGTATTTATTTGTTGTTTAATAAAAAAGTTTAATTAGGGGAGGGTTTGTTATCCAACCCACACCCACCTCCCTACTAGGCAGCACCTGCTGCAATTTAAAACAATGACTCATACTATCATACAAGGAACAAATTTCAAAGTATGGTAACGGAATAACCATCCTCTCTCCTTATACCTAACAAATGAAGCTGAAATTCCCTCAAAAATGCCTACTAGTATAATGGTACGAGTTGCATAAAAAGAACAGGTATAGGTATCAAATACTAACAACCAAGAACATCAAAATAACATTGGAATGTGCAGAAGACTGCTTAGAAATGACATATATTTTGGATAAAAAATCCAGTTATATTGTACATCGGCAACCGAAAACGTAGATCAAAGAGAAATGCAATACCTACATACTCTCATTGACTCATCCAGGAACCTATCTAGTCATTATAACTATTTTCATTCGTCATTTTCTGAGAGCATTCCAAGCTTAAAGCCATAAGATACCATGTGAAAATGAGCATGCAAAGAATTGAAATCTGTAAGAACTTCAAGAACAAAAATGATAGAGTAAGTAACATATTCTGGTCATCAAAACAAGAAATAGAAGGGGACACCTAATACATGAAAACAAAATAAAATCAATAAATAAGAAAATTAATGCAGCACACACCTGACAGATAAAGCTTCCGCATGCCTTTTAGCTTGAAAACTTTTAAGTTGACAAATGACACGGATATATTTTCCATTCCTGCAATTGTAAATGTAAGCTTCTCTCAATGGCATCCCTCTTCTCCCAAAGTATCTAAAATAAATATGAAAACTGTGTTTAACATTAATTCTTTCTATGATGAATGATAAAACTACGTGGATGCAAGTGACATATAGTCCAATAGCGCATGTACAAAAAAGTATAGAACTGTAAACGATAACTATTACTTACAACAGACAGCCAGTGACTTTTAGAGTCAACCCAGATACCTCTCACAATTCTAGTGTTCATCACAAAAATGTTTGTAACAACAATTTGGCCCATTTGGATGGTCAATCGACTCCAACAAGGGATTGAGAAGCTCTTTATAAATTAAAAACAGTTTTTTTTTCTTTTTTTGCAGGGTCACAAATATTTTGGGAGGATATTTTGGTCAAGTGGAATACAAGTTCTAATTAGCCATGAATATAGGAGCAGACCGAGGAGGGACACTTCTCACTCCTAGATGGGCAGTGAAAAAAATGGCACTGACACCAAAAATTGGTCCACCCAAACAGGTCCTAAAATTAATGAATTAGCTATGAGAGATAAATTAATGCATAAAATTCCCAAGGGCAACATCAGAAAACCCCTTAAAAAAAAGGAGCTGCAATCTAAAATAACCAAACAGCTCTGTGTATCTGAAAATTTCACAAACAAATATCAATTGAAAGTAACTGACAAACCATCTTCTTTAATTCACAAATAATGGTCTCTATAAGGACATCACTCATCACAAATTTAAACTGACTACAAACAAACCTCAAAATGGCATATAAAACCAATTTTTATCATAGTTTTCAAACAACACACCTAATTTACAAAATATGACTAGAATTGTTGGTGCATTTTGTTGTTTCCAGTGAAAAATAGAGGGATTTTGCAATAAAATAGAAAATGAAACATATTCACAGCACTGATTTTCATAAAAGGGATATTCTCCCTATGAGCTCTTAACTAAAATAAACCTGATGAAAGCAATAATCATATACTTACTGCACCACTTCCATCTCTTTACTGCAGCATCATTGATCCTGAAAGTATAACCCAAAATATGTGGGATGCACAAGTCAGAATATTTATGTCATATACTGCACTGAACAATCCCTTTTCAAATTGGTTTTTATTTTTAAAATAACATAGTAAAATTGATAAAGATGCAAGATTACCATCTATGTACATCTATCTTTCCAGTGCCATCATCCAGAGCGAATTGCACATCTGTGACCCTTTCGTCTTTCTTAACTACCATTCCAACAAGCCTGATCTAGCAAATGTAACACGCATCCCATAGGGTAAAGGATTCATTAACACTAAATATTGCCTCGAGAATTACCAGTAAGATCATCAATTTAAGTAGAGCAGTTACCCTAGGGTCAAGGAAGATAAACAGAAATCCAATGACTTCCTATCCAATGACTTTGATCAAAGAGCTTGTTATATTCAACTGAAATCCTTCACCATAATGTTGTGTCCCATGAGGATTTATGCCAAGAGTGAGTCAAGCCTTCGTTTTTGTCATTTTAGATTACTTCCATTTTACATTTGTATTCCTAAGGATAAAAAAGTAGAATATAATACTAAAAACTGAAATAAAACAGAAATCTAAAGAAAAAGGAAAATAACAAAATCATTGTTTGGCTGCACTAAAGAATTGCAAGTTAAAGGGCCCAACAGCGTTCGAACCTGACCTATTGATACATATGAGAGGTTTTGGTCCAATAAGAGTTTTGGCATATGCACAGGCAAAACAAAAAGGTACATTGGGATTGTTTCTGTCCACGTGATGCTCAAACCTTAAGTAAATAAATGGAAAGATCATGATCAACAAAAGGAAAATAAATGATAAGAGGCTTCAGCCATTTAGAGATATATTAGCATAAATAGAACATGACTGAATACGTTACAAAATAAAACTACTTAGAGAGGTATTGGCACCTGACATATTCAACATTTCATTGCCAAACAAAATTAAATACGGGCAAGTTTTTTGTTGTTTTCTCCCATGATGAATAAGTCAAACAAATTCTATAGATTTCGAAAGTAAGACATTATGGAGAAAATACTCAGACAAATCTCACCATACACACTCTCTCTTTAGATGATATGGAGGAAAGACAATCTCACTACACACAGCATATATCTTACCTATCCATTCTAGAATCAAAACTGCCCTAACAAACTAATGATCTCTCCAGCCCACCCTAAACATAGGCAAAAACCAACCCTTTCTCTCACACCATCGCAAAGAAGCCTGCACAGTTTCAAAAAAATAAAAAAAAAAGGATTGTCATTGAATTATGAATGGCAGTGCACATTGTACACTCACTGTGTACAGTTTCTCACTATACACTGTGTCACAGTCTCACTTTAGACATTATGGGAGGAAATATTGAATCACAATCTCACCATCACAGTTTCTCTCTCTAACTACCCATTTTAGAACCAAAATGCCCTGACAAAGTCATGATCTCTCAAACCCACCCTAAACCAGGACAAGAACCAACGCTTTCTCTCACTACATCACAAAAGAGCCTACACAGTTCAAAAAAATTAATCAGATTGTCATTGAATTGTGAAGGGTACTGCACATTTAAAACAAGTTCCTCTCTGAGCGCCACAACACAAGAACCCAAGACCCAGCAGCAGGGCTACAAGAAGACTCCAGCCCTATATCTTCCCTCTATTAGTTCCTCTTTAATGTCAAAAAAATAAAACAGTTTCTTTCTCGATATTCCACAACACCATCACGCCAAATTTCCAGTGTCAAGGCCATAGTCAGTTCTCTTTTCAAGTTGTTAACGTTTCTTATGTCGAAAAAAAAAAAAAACAATATCTCTCTCTATATTCCACTACACCATCACCCAATTTTGCCAGTGCCAAGACTATAGTCAGTTCTCTTTTCAAATTGTTGACGTTTCTTATAATTAGAACTGATCATCCACGAAAATGACAATATAGAAGCAAGCGAAACCAAATTAGCCGAATTGTGGAATTGAAACTCACAGTGTCTGATTCAATGGCATCAATGCCAATGCTTGAACTATCACCTGCAAATATTCGACTTAACTGCTTCACTGTGCAAGGAAGCAAAGCGCTAACCCCGCGACCCTGAATCAAATATTACGAAATAGATACATGATCATAGAGAGAAAGAGAACGAAAGAGAGATGGGAAACGGAAGAAACTCAAGTGAAAAAAAACCCCAAACATACCCTGGATGAAGAGGGAGAATGTTGTGTGGATTGAGTGGACTCGAATGGCATGAAGCCTCCCCCTCCAAAGAGTGATGATCCATCAAACTGGCTTGACATCTCTATCTTTCCCCCTCTCTCTAAAATGGAGAACGAAATTGAATGTTAAATGCCTTTTTCAGTCTCTCTCCCTTTAAAAAAATTGGGACTGGAGTTGAACCCTAGAGAGAAATTGATGAGCAGGTGTGTCTATTGGGCGCGGGAAATGTTCCCGCCAACTGTTTTTGTCCAATTGGTCATAGTTACAGTAGTGCCCACCGATATCTATCCAAATATTAGGAAGTTGGGAACAATTGTTTCATGCGGGCTCGGCCGCATTTCTAAAATACGCTCTCCAGAGTATAAAGCATCCATTTTAAAGATGGATGCAGATAGGTGATCCATTTAAAAATAATTGTAACTAAAGGTTCAAATGTTTTTTTAATATGATTATCATTTCTAATTTTCAAATTTGATCTATTTTTTTATATTAGTAATCTCTATGTTAAAGATTTTTAGGAAAACTAGATCACCTTCCTCAAATTCAAGATCTCTCCGTCGGTTATCGGCATAACTCTTTTGCCGTACTCTGAGCTGTCTTCTGTTGACGCCTTTCACGAATTAATGCTATTTTATCTGTGGTTATCTGGATAATTTCTAGCCCCAAAAGCTTTTTTTCACCAACCTCGTCCCAACAGATAGGTGACCTACATTTCTTTCCATACAAGGCTTCATATGGTGCCATCTGAATACTGGCTTAGAAGCTATTGTTATAAACAAACTCAATCAGGGGTAAATGGTCATCCCAGCTTCCTGTAAAGTCAATAACACAGGCCCTCAGCATATCTTCCAAGGTTTGGATGTTCCTCTCCGATTGTCCATCAGTTTGGGGGTGAAAGGCAGTACTAAAGGTGAGTCTCGTCTCCATGGCTGACTGTAGTCTAGCCCAAAATTTAGAAGTAAATCGAGTATCCCTGTTTGATACAATATTAATCAAAACTCCATGCAAATGCACTATTTCCTTAATGTACAACTGGGCCAGTCGATCCAAAGTGTATGTCGTGCGAATCGATAGAAAGTGGGCAGCTTTGGTCAATCGGTCTACAATGACCCAAATGCTATCATGTCTTGAATTTGTTATAGGCAAACCAGAGACAAAATCCATAGAGATGTGCTCCCACTTCTATTATGGCACGGAAAAAGGCTGCAACAACCCAGCGGGCCTTTGATGTTCAGCTTTTACTTGCTGGCATGTTAGGCACTTAGATACAAATAGTTCTACCTCTTTTTTCATATTATTCCACCAAAAGGTTTTCTTAAGGTCCTGATACATTTTAATACTTCCGGGATGTATCGTATAACGAGAATGATGTGCTTCTTCCAAGATAGCTTTCTTCACGCTCTCATCATTCGGGACACAAACCCGACCTTTGAATCTTAGCAAATCCTCACTACATATAAATAATTCATCTCTCTTTCCTTGCTTCACCTCTTCTATAATTGTTATAAGCTGATGGTCTTTCTTTTGTGTCAATCGAATCTGTTGGATTAATTGGGGTTCTGCCTTAATGTTGGCAATCATACTTACCACACCATTAATGGACAGAGTCGGATGCCAATACACTATTGCCTCTAACAATCTCATTTATTGGATCATTAGATGAGCTAAGACTCCCGTAGATTTTCTACTTAGAGCGTCGGCCACAACGTTAGCTTTTCCTGAATGATAATGGATTGTACAATCATAATCTTTTAATAAATTCATCCATCTTAGCTGTCGCATATTTAAATCCTTCTGAGATAATAGGTATTTCAAACTCCTATGATCCGTGTATATTTCGAATTGCTCACCATATAGATAATGCCTCTATATTTTCAAAGCGAATACTATTACAGCTAACTCCAAGTCATGAATTGGATATTTTTTCTCATATTCTTTCAACTGTCTGGATGCATATGCCACTACTTTCCCATATTGCATTAATACACAGCCCAAGCCTTTATGTGAAGCATCACTACAAAGCACAAATCCCCCACTCCCCTTAGGAATAGTTAAAATAGGTGCTGAAGTTAATCGAACTTTTAGTTCTTGAAAACTCTCCTCACATTCACTTGTCCACTCAAATTTGATATTTTTCTGTGTCAATCGAGTCAATGGGATTGCGATTCGAGAAAATCCTTCTACAAATTTTCTGTAATATCCTGTCAATCCCAAAAAGCTTCGAACTTCAGTCACATTACTTGATTGTTTCCAATTAACAATGGCTTCAACCTGTGAATGATCAACTGATAGACCTTCCTTTGATATGACATGTCCTAAAAATGTCACTTGTTCAAGCCAAATTTCACATTTACTAAGTTTGGCATACAATTTATTTTCTCTTAATATTTGCAATACCATTATTACATGCTGCTCATGTTCCTTCTGATTCTTGGAATAAATTAAAATATCATCGATGAATACCACCATAAATTTATCCAAAGAGGGTTTAAATATCTGATTCATCAAATCCATAAATGCAACTGGTGCATTGGTTAATCCAAAAGGCATAACTAAAAATTCATAATGCCCATACCTTGTTCTAAAAGCTGTATTGGGAACATCTTCACTTTTAATCTTAAGCTGATGGTATCCAGATCTAAGATCAATTTTTGCAAATACTTGTGATCCTTGTAATTGATCAAATAAATCATCAATTATAGGTAATGGATACTTATTTTTCAATGTCACTTGGTTCAACTGCCTATAATCGATACACAATCTCATGGTCCCATCTTTCGTTTTAACAAACAGTACTGGAGCACCCCAAGGTGACACACTGGGCTTGATAAAATTTTTATCTAATAATTCTTCCAATTGTTGTTTTAGTTCCTTAAGTTCTGCAGGTGCCATTCTGTAAGATGCCTTGGAAATTGGTGCTACCCCTGGCAATAATTCAATGGAAAATTCAATTTCCCTGTCAAGCGGTAATCCTGGCAATTCTTCTGAAAAAACGTCGGGAAATTCTCGAATAACCGGAGTGGTATCCAAATTTATTTATTCTTTCCTATCTTCTTTGATATAGGCAAGAAAGCCTTGACACCCTTTTCGGAGGAGGCGATTAGCTCGAATACAAGAGATTAAATATGATGGGGAGTCTTCTTTGATACCATTGAAGTAAAATACCGGTTGATTCAGAATGCTAAAGGTAACCATTTTCTTATAACAATCAATACTTGCATAGTATGCAGAAAGCCAATCAATGCCTAATATTACATCAAAATCTTTAATTTCCAAGAGTATTAAATCAACCAACAGTTCCTTTTCTTTTATCTTTATTACACATGACTTGTACACTATATTGATGTTAATTGAATTTCCCATCAGTGTGGCTACCTCTAGAATGTATTCTAATTATTTTGGTTCTACCTTTAAGTGGCATGCAAAGTGTGATGACACAAATGAATGAGTAGATCCAGGATCAATCAAAACATGAGCTACTTTTTTTAACATAATAAGAGTACCTTGCATGACTGATTTTGAGGCCCGAGCGTCTTGCTCGGTGATTGCAAATACTATTCCCTTCATCTGCGGCTTGTGAATTATCTCTCCCTGCTTTGGAAGTTGTTGCATCTGTAAGCTATGACATTGTCTAATCTGGTGTCTCAATTTTCCACATTTAAAACAGGCTACGGTATTCCAATAATAAGAGCTGGATCCATGGTTTTTCCCACATTTCTTACATGGTTCTATTGCCCTTTGAAGTGGCAAGGGCCTTGGCTTCTTGTTTGCCCTTTCAAACTGTTGTTGATTAAATGGTGTGGGTCTAACATGGCTTTTCTGATTTTTCGTCTTTTGGTAATCTTCAAAATCTTTTTCGACAATTTAGGCTCGATCCATTATTTCAGCATAAGTTCTTAATTTCAATACTGATATCCTGCTTCTGATAGCTGGCCTGAGACCCCTTTCAAATTTTTTCACCTTTCTTGCCTCATTGTTAATCATATGCGGTGCAAACCTGGCCAATTCAGTAAACTTGGCCTCGTACTGTGCTACTGTCCGATTTCCTTGGATTAATTTAAAAAATTCCATTTCTTTTTTGTCACGAATAAAATATGGGAAATACTTTTCATTAAATGCCTCTAGAAATACTTCCCAAGTCGAAGGTTTATTTTCTTTGACCAATACTCCTTTTGCCATTCGCCACCAGTGTTGTGCTTCACCTTCTAACATAAAAACTGCCTAGGCCACTTTCCTATCATCAGGACATTCCATTACCTCGAATATTTTTTCCAATTGCATAATCCATCCCTCGGCTTCCAGTGTGTTTACAACACCCTTAAAAGAAGGTGGGTTCAATTTATTAAATTGTTCGATATTACTTCCACCATTTTCTGTAACCGACTGTCTAGATAGATTGTTGTTTTCCATCTGATGTTGCATTAGAGCAACCATATTTTTCAAGGCTTTGTGAATTCCTTCCATATTGGCTTCAGCTATTATGGATCTTGACTTTTTCCCTGTCTGTACACACAATAAATGTGATTTTAAGTACATTATTTTTAAATTTCCTAAGAATCTTAAACCTATTGCTTTGATACCATAATTTGTCACACCCCAAGAAATTTCAATACAGATATTCTTGAGATGTGACAGTCCAAAACATATATACATCTCTTGATAGGACAAATTTATAGTGGCGAGGTCTTACAAAGTAAATAAAGAAAGCTAGCACAACAACAATATCTTCCAAGGTTGATCT